AGAAATCAGGATTTTCCTTAACTAAATGTCTTGTGGTCTCCTTAGCTTTGTTTCTTAACAGGGTTGTCTTTATGTTAGTTTTCTTTGGCTTCCCAATAGAAGAGTAACAGATTTCTTTTGAAGTTTTTATTGATGAATGAGCTCCTATAAATAACTCTCTGTGGCAGCAGCTTGATCTCAGAGTTTACTCTGGAATAATAGTAGCAATGGGAATGGAGGAAATTTATGGCAGCATGACATGAAATAGTTTAATGGGCTTCATACTGTTTAACTTAATCTTTACAGATGTAAAAACAGAAATACAATTATTTTAACAACTATTACTACATATTGCCTTTCTAATGAAAACAGCAACTTAGTAAGCAACTGAAGATAGGTACTGAAGAACTAAGGAGTCCACCTCACTGTAGGTTCAGGAATTAGTGTGTTGAGCCAGTGCACTTGCAAACCTTCAATTGGAGAGCTGGGGTGTCTGGGAAGGAATAGTCTACAGGTGGAACTTAGTGCTTGCAAGTAAAGCTGAGTCACAGCACTTCAGATCAGGGTGTGGATGTTTGAAGCTGCCTAAAACCAGTGGAAGCAATGGAGCCCTGTCTTTGGAGTTAAAAAAAACAAACCACCCTCAGCATTTTCTTTCATGTTGTCTTATTTCACTTGTCTGCTTTGAGAAGGAGCTGATCCAATCCCACCAAAGTTTATGGGTATCTTTGGTGACACCAGGGGACACCCAGCCACATCCCTTTTGTAATCCCAGGAGCGGTACAGCTCTAATCCTCTCGCCATAGGAGCAGAAGCAGGTATTACACTCACCTCAACCAGAGGATGGAAGGAGATGGTGAAAACCGAGTATGATTTCCAGCCCTCTGATATCGACTCAGTTAAAGAGCATTTAACTGCTTACCGTTACAAGTATGATTATCTTCCCATCTCGGGTTTGCTTGTTTCTCTGAGGCAACATCTCCTAATAGGAAGGTGGCCCAGATGTGCTACTTTTACCTGGGTAAGCTAAGGAAGGTGAAAAGGAAGAACTTCAAATCTTCTGCCTTCTGTCAAAATGCCCAAACCACAGGCAAGCTGGTATTTAACCCAGCCAAGGATCTGGCCAGAGGACTTCAGCACCTATATATGTGAGAGGTAAAAATCCAATATCATAATTCCTAGGAAGAGGAACAGGCCCTAATTCAAATGCAAGATTTCCTTTGCAGGAGTTTGAACATGGCTTGTAGCCAAGCACAGCTCCCTTGCACTTTCTGGTGCTTTGCAAAGAGCTCGAGTAAATATTGAAGCGTGTTGATGCTCTGTGCAATTTCTAGTACAATAGCTGACAGCTATTGTTTCCTCCTTGAGGGAGCATTATTTGAAATGAAATTGCAATAAAAGTTATCACCACTGTTTTCTCAACTGTCTGTTTAGTGAGAAACTTGCATTATTTGTAACACTTTCCAATACACAGAAATTGCCCGTGCAAGAAGTAACTTGCAAATTCTTACTAGATTTCCAAAAATGTGGGAAAGTTTATTTATTTCTCCATGCATTCCTGATTCGCAATGTGCTCTCTAAAAATGTCACTGAGATTTAGGCTAACCAAGCTCATGCTAAATTTAGCAACTATATTTTAAATAAACATTCTTTACGCTTTACTGAACCGTCTTTGAAGCGGGCTTAAAACAAATTGCGTTTGCATGAACATTAACAATGTTTTACTTTGGGCTAAGTGAATCTGAATAAGTAATAACGTATTATTCATTATAATCTGAAAATTAGATTTAGGAGACCTAATTCAACCAATTTAGGAAAGATTCCTAGGAGGAATAACGAATCAGATCCATGTTTATTTCTGGAAGCATCCGTTCTGTTCTCCTTGACCACACGAAAGTTTCTTCTGGTGTCTTGTTAGACGCTGCAAGCTACGAGCCTCGGTGAAATCAGCTGTGACTTAGCACGCAATGCGTTTGAGGAATCTGGCCCATTTTAAAGCACTTAATGATTTGTCTGGATAATGCACTAAAAATATACTGTGGGGAGCAATTATGCAATGTCCAGACTGATGGATTGCATAACCTCATAGACCTTTTCCATCTGTAACTTCTCTAATTCTGTGATCTTGTCTTCTTGGTCTTTCACTTAAAATCAAGTATGTGATCTGTTTAATATCCAAAATGCTGTCTCCCAGGAGATGTTTTCTGGGTGTGTGGGGCTATGAATCAAGTAACAATGCAGGTCTCCCTCCTCTTCTCATTTCATGAATTGGCTGCTCTTCATGATGGCCTCAGAAGCAATTAGCAGGAAGCCAGTGGGTTTTGGTGTGGAAAGCAGTGCTGTCTGCATTACATGGCTTCCTTGCTAAAGGATGGAAAGAGAATTAGCTTTTAAAAGTGGGAGAGGAGAGGGGGAAAGTAGAAGTGGTTACAAAGTCCCTTAGAGTTATGTGACCCTGAAATCAGACGTGGGCAGCCATGTACTTTGAGTGACAAGTCTTGAATGTGGCTTCTGCTCATGTGTAAGTACTTTATTACTTTTTATATATGCTATGGAACCAACTTTAAGCGAACACACACTGAGCGTATTTAAAGACTGGAAGCCCCATTTATGAGAAATTATATTCCTGTATTGTTTTAATATGCCAAATTTTCAGTTCCCTTCATAGGAAACCTTTGTTTGGAGTGAAGCCGCTCCATGAACCAAACGAATCCGCTATGATCCTCTTCCACTGTGTGCTCTTCTCTGCTCCTATGAGTTAAAATTGGCTGCAGACCTCAGAGACATGAAACCTTGCTCGGTTGGGAGAGGTCATTCCTCTCCAGTGGAACGGAAAGGCACATATATCGCCCACACAAGAAGTACGCTGTTTATCCTGCATCATTGGCTATTTTCTGAACTTCTTCACAGTATTTCAGACTTGTGTTTATAGCTAGCCCAGAGAGATTGGGAAAGCCAGGAGGGGGAAGATTCCAGGGATGAGTTAAATACTGGGTGGCAGTTTTGTGTCAGGCAGCTGCTTTTTTGGGTTGTGAAACAGGTGTGAAACCACGATTATTTGTCAAGCCCTTTGTGTTTGTATGACACATTTTATGTCTGTCCTGTACTGCCCAGCACCAAAATTCACTGGATGTATAGAGGATTAAAGGATGCTCCATTACATCCAAGTGACATCCAAGTGACATCCAAGTACCGCTGTACTGACTTGCACACTTATTTCTCCTCCCCAGAGCACTGTTGTTTTTATTGTACCATTACTTCTTCTCCTCTCTATATAAACAGATGACGTGGAGAAGCTGTGTGCAGTTAGTCATCCTGCCTGTTGGCAATAAGACCCTTTTTCTTGGTATTCATCCCCTGCAAGTTACATTGATGGCCTGATCCCAATTAATTACAAATTGCCGTTCATAACTATTCACTCAATTCTGAGTTTATTCAAGTTAGTGTCACTTTCGTGCAGAGCATGTTAAGTTTACTAATTTTACTCTTTCAAGTGAAACCAAAATCAAGCCCAGTGTGGCTTTTAAACGTTGCAGCTGTAACTTGGTCCCAAGCCACTACGACAAAACAGAAATAAAATCAAATGTCACCATGAGCAGACCTTCACAAAAAAATAATATCCTGTTTCATAGAAAAAGTTGAATCTCCAAAAATGACTGTGATAAAAGCATACATGGTGTACATATCAGACTGCAATCCTAATGTGAGAATTAATCCTTCAGATTTGGAGGGGGGAAGTTAAAAGACTCACCACTAAAAACTGCCCTTGTACAGAAAGGGCCCTAAGGTGGAGGGGGTATACCTGTATGAGTAGGAAAGGAATAAAAACCCTTTTTGCAGATCCAAAAAGGTACTTTGGGAGCAGGAATAGCAGCTGAGCTGTACCAAAACTGGGGGACAGGGGGTCACATCTGGGTTGTCAAGTTAAGCAGAGAAAACCTAAGAGAAGGGAAAGGAGAAGGAAAGGAACACAGGGGCAGGCAAAGGGAAGGAGAGGAGCCTGAAGATGTTCATTATAAATGCTTGAAGGGGGATTTTCCTTCTTTTGGGGCTGTCCTTACACTCTCTGCACACAGAAGCAAAGGCCCACCCTCATGACCTAAGTTGGACCTTTTCCCTACCCCTGCATCTCCATGAGAGTGATGCTGACACATGGACTCTGAGACTGGTGGTGTCAGCCTCCAGGCTTGACCAGAAACCTTCTTACGAGGTGCTTACTTCTTTAACTGGCTATAATACCTGTCTGGTTACTGCAGCACTGTTGGGACAGGGGATTTCACAGGGGATAACCCTCTCAGCACTGGTGGGAACACACGTGGCTTTTTCCCCTTTACAAGTGGGTTGTGCTTTTTTCGTTCCATGCCACAGCTTTAAAGAATGGTCTCAATAGATATTTGAATAGGAATTGCCAGAAATAGGAAGCATATAAGGGGGGTTGTTTAAATAAAATCTAGCTTGAAAATCTATATAAAAAGCCCCCATCTTTTTTATTCTCTTTTTTTTCACAGTAAGGAGCTGTAGCTCTGCCTATCCAGAGATCCATCTGCGAGCATCCTTCTTTTGGGAAGCTCAGCATCAGTTCCCACCTTTGGGAGATTTTCTGTACTTCCTCAGAGGAGGACTCTTTGCCTCGAGTTGAAATGAGCCCCTCTGAGCTCCAAACGTCAAGGCAGTTTGATGCCAAAGTTGAATCACAGTGTAACCTAGAAACCCAGATTTACAGTAGTCCAGGTGCTAATTTAAGGACAGGTTTTGCTAATGAGACACGGTGGGAGAGGGGAAGGGGAGGGAAGGGTAAACAGAACCATTTTGGGAACATTATCTTGGTCACAAGGAATGGGAGATTTCCCAGGGCCCTGAATTTAGCCTCTCCCACCTTTTACCTCTCCTGGCAGTGTGGTCCATCATGTCATCACCAGGATATTTGCACCAGAGCTCACTGCTGCATCCAGCAGCAGGCACCACTTCTTTGCCCTCCGGCTGCACAAGCCAAAGGGTGTTTTACAACACACCAGCCACAGTCCTGAACAAAATACTTTTATTGGATATAGGTTTGGTTTCATAATGAAAATTGAGAATATAGATCTTTTTCTTTTCCAAAAGGGCATTTGTCCACTAATATACAAAAAGCCTCTATTTATTGCAAAAAAAAAAAAATTTAAAAAAACCGAAAAAAAAAGTAATATTCCTGATGGCTTCTACTGTGTCTGGATTCTTCCTTCTCGAAGAGAAAAGAAAGCTTTGGAAACATAGCTGATGTCTTTTGTCCGGGTTGTTAACAGAGCTACTTCAAAATGTCAAGACCAGCCTCCATAACCCTGCTTCAGTCTTTTTTGGTCAGAAGCAACTGATCCCAGCAAGATATGGAAGCTGGCCACATCCCCACATCCACAATGTTTTTGCTCGTTTGTCTTCCTCTCTCTGGCCACATGAGTGAGGAAGAAACGCTGTCGCGATATTCAGTAAGCATAAGCGCTAGGCAGGAAAATGACTTGTGTTAATGCCATATATACAGTGCTGAGTCAAAGCGAGCAGGACTGTGCAGAATGAGCCTAGATTGTTTGGTCTGTCCTTGTTTCAGGCCTGGTTACCTGCCTTTTACCTGCTCAGAGGACTGGACCAATAGAGCAGTACGAAGAATTACTATGTGCAGGCACCCGTGGGTATTAATAGCAAAACACAACTCAGCCTCTTCCCCCAGGGATGGAAGGGGTGGGTTTGGGTTTTGAAATTAAAAGATAATAAAAATACAATAAAAAAAAGAAGAAAACTGGAAACCCAAAGAGCTCGGCAGAAACAAGGTCTGAAGAACCTGAGGGATGCAAAGCCTAAAGGTGCAGAACCAACCCGGTGGGGCTGGGGGCCAGCATGAGCCCCCCCTCTGCTCCTCCACCACCGAGGGAAAAGAAAACTGGTTTACCTTTAAAAGTCGATCTGGCAGTAGGGGGTGGGAGGCAATCGCTAAAGAGAGCTCCGCAGCAATGCGTGTCTTGACAATGCCCTGAAATCCTGAGTCACCTTTAACATCGCTTTTTTGGGGCGTGATTTTGGTCTTTACCCGCCTGGCAAGGGTTGAGTCCGGTCTCTCCCTCCCATCACCTCCCCCCCAGCACAGCAGCGATGGGAGGAGGGGTGTTAGTTAATTATGGGGGCAACTACTGCAAATTAAACACCGCCTCGGAGAAGTGGAGAGGGAAGCAGGAGAGTAAGGGGATGCCGATGTGATAAAGCCTCCCGTGCACCTGGGAGTCGAGCGTGATCGAGGCGCTACAGGCCGGGCCGCAGCCGCCGCTGGCGACCAGAGAACCGACGGGGCCACCGGCGGGGCTCTCCCGGGCCGCCCTGGGGCCTGCCCCAGGGGGGGGCTGCCTCAGCCCCCTGGCCAGGATGCTCTCGATGCTGAAGCTGCGACCCCGAGGACCGCTCTTGGGCGGAGGGGCGGCGGCAGCGGGCGGCCGGGGTGCGGCGGGGGCCGGGGCACCTCCGCAGCGGGGGGGACCCGAAGGGGGAGCTGCTTCCCCCCCGCCCGGCCCCGGCACCCCTTCGTCGCCCGAGGCTGCCGCCGCGCTGCCCTTGGCCCTTTTGGGCTCGTCGGGGCGGGCGTGCTGCCCCGGGGGCCGGGTGCCCTTCGGTTCCAGCGGCCCCGGGGCTTTGGGCTTCCTCTTCCTCCGGCGGTAGTTGCCGTTCTCGAACATGTCGAGGCACCGCGGGTCCAGCGTCCAGTAGCTGCCCTTGCCGGGCCGGCCCTTCTCTCGCGGCACCTTGATGAAGCAGTCGTTGAGGGAGAGGTTGTGTCGGATGCTGTTCTGCCAGCCCTGCTTGTTGTCGTGGTAGAAGGGGAAGCGGTCCATGATGAACTGGTAGATACCGCTGAGGGTCACCTTCTGCTCCGGAGCTTCTTTGATGGCCATAGCGATGAGGGCGATGTAGCTGTAGGGGGGCTTCTGCGGGGGGTCCTGCCGGGATATGGCACCGCTCGGGGCGAACCCCAGGGCAGCCGGGAGGTACAGCACGGGGGGGCTGCCCATGGCAGGGAGGGGGCTTCCGTAGAGATGGCTCATCGCAGGCGTTGTCCCAGCCCCGGGTCTTCCTCAGCGGAGCAGGGCGAAGGGATGGGGTAGGGTAGGAACCTGGGACGAGTCCACCAGGGAGCTATTTGTGTGAGCTCAGATCCCAGCCCTGCCTGAAGGAGCTCGTTCTGCCTCTGTCCCCGCTTCATAGCTCTTAAGAAAAAAAAAAAAAAAAAAAAAGGGAGGAAAAAAAAAAGTTAAATAATTGTTGTAAGTTTGCTATTATATGTTGACTTAGCACTGGAAAATAAATTGTCTCCGATAAACAGTCGTTTGTGTTCTCAGCCCACCCACATTAATTAAAATTTCATTGCTACAAAACTCCAAGCTCTCTCCACGTGTCTCGCTGGTACCAGCCAATGGTCTCCGGGTTATTCCTTCATTTGTTTATAGAATTAGTCTGTTGATAAGTCTGCCCACCCAAGTCGAATCAAGCTGTGTTTATTTGGAAAAATTTCCGGGCACCCAATATATAAACGCACTGATCTGATGTTTGAAATATCACGTCCACCCTTTGACGCTGTAAGCACACACAGCAGAGCAGGATGTACACTGCTGGAGCTCGGGGAGGAGCAGGCGAGGAGCCCCGCAGGAAAACTGGGGCAACAAACAACAACAACAGAAAAAAAAATTAAATAAAACAAAACCAAATTGCAAAAAAAAAAAAAAAAGAAAGAAATTAAGAAAACGGGATGGGGGAAGGGAGAAGGCAGCGCTGCAATGGGGAGGAAGGAAAAGGGGCTCTCTGGAGGCCCGAGGAAGGAGGGGTCAGGTGTGCGGGGCTCCCCTTCGCACCCGGCCCGGGCCCGAGTGAAGGGGAGCCCCGGACCTGCACTGGGGGTGACGCCCGGGGGGCTGCAGCGAGCTTCATAACGAGGGAATTTGGCAGGACCGGGGAGGAGGGCCAGTATTTGTGAACGCGGGCCTGTTGCTTTATATTATGTACTTTCCTGTTTATAACAAGGAGGGGGATTATAACAACTTTACAAGTGCACACAGCTGGCCGGTGCTTACATTAGGAATTTGTGATGCTCTTTTTCTGGGTAAACGTCCAGGTTTGGGGCTGTGATTTCTGTTGTCGGGTTTTTATTTTTTTCAATTTGCTGATGTAACAGCTCTAATCAGAGGCCCCGAGGGATCCCGATGCAATTGGAGGTGTCGGCTGCTTCTCCAGCCCCCGCTGCTCGGACCTGCGTTAGAACCCAGGGGAGACCCGGCGCCGTGTAGCATCATTCCTTCGAGGGAGTGAACAGGAGGATGCCTTCTTCCTTCAGAGAGAAACAGCCCATAAGTGCAGGCCCACCACAGTGGTGGGACTTTAACCTGGCGGGGAAAGAGGTAAAAGCTCCGAGGTTCCCTCCTGCAAGCCCCCCTTCACCCGTGGGGTTTTTCGCCCACTTCTGCACCCGTCCTGCCGTTCTCCCAGCAAACCACCGGGACAAGGTTTTTAAACCCCGGGGTAAAAGCCATCGCGGTGGCTGTGGACCCGCAGAGGAGCCCCAGAGGTTGCCAGAGTCGTGCAAGCCTGGGAAATACAGCAAGGGTGCAAAGGGAGGGGGCTTCTAGGGGACAGGGAGTCTCCCCGCTCAGTGTCTGGCCCCACACAGGAGGGAAACCCGCCCCTTTGGCACGCCCTTGCCGGTAATACAGCATCCCTCCCCCTCGGTGCACACACCCGCCACCCCCCGGAAACGGCAGGACTCATCCATGCCATAACCGCAATAAACCCCTAAATAAATAAGAAAAGGAGACAGAAGAAGGGTTGAGGGGCGGGGTCCCCCTATTTCGAAGCTGAGGACCAGCATTCCCTGGAAGCATCCTCGCTGGGGGGGGATAGGGCAAAGCCCAGTTGCTCTAACGCATCCTCAGGGCAGCCTGCTGAAGTCGAGGGTCTCTCCCCCTCCGCACACACCACACCACACCCCCCCCCCTTCGCGGAGTCCCCCCCTCCCCGGGACACTCCAAGCACGGATTATTAAAATAATCAATACTCGCGTGTACGGCGGGAGACAGGCACAAGGGCACCGGCTCACTCCCTGAGCTCCCTCCCCCAGCAGAATTCCTGCTTCCTCCTTCTTTTCCCCTCTTTGCGGTAGAAACTCCTTGGAGGCGGGGATGCGGCTTTTCTCTCAGCTCCTTCTTCCCAGCCTATCTGCTGCCTGCTGTGCCTCTCCAGTCGGTGGCATCGCTGCGTTACCCACCCGGGAACAGCCCTCCGAGTGGCTTCGATGGCGGCGGGGGGAACCGGGGGAGCAACCGGAGCGGCGGGGAGGTAGGGGGGTAATGGTGTTTACCGCTGCTCTTCCTCTAAACGGACGAAGGAAAAGCCGCGGAGCCAGCGATGGAGTTGCTCCTGGACGTGTTTCCCCTCCTCTCCAGCTGACAAGACTCTTTTAAAGTACCAGCAAGGAGAACTCCGGCTCGGGGCCTCTGAGGGAAGCGGGTGCAAATCAGTGCTCCTCACTCCTTACTGTGTCCCTGCACTGGGGAATCAGAGCGCAAATCAGTGCTCCCCACTCGTTGCTGTATTCCAGCACCCAGGGGGCAGCTTGGGTGTGAAGCAGTGCTCCCCACTCCTTCGGCATCCCGGCCCCTGGGGGAGAGCAGAGCACAAATCAATGATCCCCACTTCTTGCTGTATCCCGATAGTTAGGGTAAGCAGAGCGAAAATTAGCGCTCCCCACTCCTGCTGTATCCCAGCACCTGGGCGGGGGGGGAGCTGAGGTGTAAATCAGTGCTCCCTACTCCTACCGCATCCCGGCCCCTCGAGAGGAGCAAGGCGCAAATCAGTGCTCCTCACACCTTGCTGAGTCCCGGCCCGGGGGTAGCGGGAGTGTAAATCAGCGCTCCCCACTCCTTGCTTTATCCTGGCCTTGGGGTAGCGGGGCTGTAAATCAGCGCTCCCTAATCTTGCTACATACCGGCCCGGGCTCCCTCAGACACGACGGGCAGGAGCTGCCCACCCCTCTCTGTGGAGGGCACTGTACAGCCCTCCGATAGCGGCCCGGGCTCGGACGTGTATTTCTTCCTCTCCCTGCCCTTCAGTGGGAGGAATTGGTGTGGATTTTCTGCAAAGCCCCCTCCAAAGTGACACAAGGGCTAGCCGCCTTCAGCAAAACCCTCTTGGCCGGCGCCTTCCCACAAGCGCGTTGAGATCTCGGGGAGATGGGATGGCCCCGGGGGGAACCAGAGAGCTCCGTTCTGGGATGTTTAGAGGCCTGGGGGGTGGGAGGAGGCCTAAAGGGGTTGATTTTTCCCTATTCGGGTCCTGCAGCCCAGGGGAAAGCGGTCCCTTGGCCAGTCTGCGGGGACACCTTCCCGGTGGGAATGAGCTGGAAAAGCGCCAGCCCTTCTTCCCGAAACCCAGAGCTGCCTGGGCTTTTCGGACAGGTTTGCAAATCTGTAGGTTAACGGCAGCGCCGCAAGAAATAATATTAACAATAATAAAAGAGATTCAATAAAACCTCATCCACCATCCTCATCTGCTGCCCCGAGCCATGCTGGGCCCCGACTCGGTGCAACCAGACATGCACCAGTTTCGGCCAGCCGCCACGCTGGGGACAGAGCTTAGCCCTCCTTTATTCCTGGGGGGAATAATGCTGGTCCTTCCACTGCGAGGGTCTGCGAGGCCTGATCCTGATATGCAGGACCATGGGCCTTCCTTTTTTCTTTCTCCCCCTTTGCTCCGGCCGGGCTGAAATCACCTGTCCCGACAGACTCCTATCGCGTTATCCACCTCCGTATCTCAGCTGTTAAATGCAGCTCCGAAAACGATTTTGCTTGGCCTGCGAGTCCAGCCCACCCAAAGCCCCCCCACCCGGAGAGAAGAGGGCCACCGGGGCTCGGCGGAAGGAGACTGAGGGGTCTGAACCCCCGGGACAGGTCGCAGCGATGGGACAGCCCTCTCAGTTCCTGTCTTTGGAAGGGGGCTGCATACCCACCCTGCTCTGACTGGGGGGAGGCCTGATCATACCAGCTCCCGGCCCCGGGACCTTAGGATCTAATAGCTGGCTTTCCTTTTTCTGCCAAGCTCCTGAAAACCTCGAATCCTGAAATCCCGATATCCTTATATCCTGATATACTGATATCTCCGAAGCCGGAGTGCAATATAGCAGGGAGGGAGGGACAGCGCCCTGGGGCAGTACAGACCCCACGTAGCAGCGTCCATGGGGACAGCGATGGGAAAAGCCCCACTGGCAAGGCGTTATGGGAGCAAAGGGGACCCCCAAGCCCGGCTCCAGCTGCGGACCCCCAGGAACTGTCCAACAGCAAGGGGAGCAGGTTGCAGCGCCTCAGAAGAGCCCCGGCCCCCAGGACTGCACCACCCTCTCCCCAGTATCTAAAGGATCCCGTGGGCCCAGCATCCTTACCCAGCGTGGGAAGATATGGGAGCAGTGGTGACCCCGGGATTTCTCAAAGCGTGTGGGATAAACATACAGCAAGCACCTGATCTGAGTCATTCCCAGGGGGAAAAGGGGCTGGACTGGGGGAAGAATTCTTCCTGGTTTGTTTTTGGTTTGGGTTTTTTTTTTTTGTTAGTTTGAGTTTTGTTTCTATATTTATTTTTACACTTTTACACTATTTGTTGTCTTTTTACCCCTTTACTCTATTTATTTCTTTACCCTTTTGCTGTGTTTTGCTTTTACCCTTTACTCCATGTATTTTCTGTCTTTAAAATATAACTTCTATTCTGTTGCATTTAAAAAAAAAAAAGGAAAAGAAAAAAATAAAATAAAACCCACTCTCTGAGAGCCAGGAAAAATGGCACGAGTTTTACAAGAATGTTCCTTAAAATACAGATCAAGTGAGGCTTGGACATTTTTTCTCATTTAAATCGAGAGTTCCAGTGCTTTTTGCCAGCTTTCTAGCTCATGAGAAGTTTACCCGATCAAAACCAATTTATATCATCGATTAGAGCAGCCTGCCACTGGTGTGACTGCTCCTAAACGCTGCCAGGGCTGCGAGGGGCGGCGGGAGGGGGGACACACACGGCAGGGAAGTGTCCCCGGTAAATGTTGGATAGGTGAGCCTCTGCCGCTGGGAAAAGAGCCGGGATCCAGCAAGCCGGACTTGGGAAGTCCCAAAGAACCCTCCTCAAGCCTGCCCTAGGCTTTACCCTCATCCCAGAGCCGGGTTAAAGCTGCTTCAACAGATAAAGGATGGTCTGGGGGAAAGGCAGAACATGTGTCAGGACCCGGCATAGCGAACAGGAGCTTAAGCAGATA